TCAAGTCACATTCCAAGCCTCACCCAGGAGCCTCTGAGGGACACATCAAGTCCTCTCCAGCCAGGCCAGACCCACCACCCCACCTCCCGGGCACACCGTGAGACTCAACCAGATCTCACTGCCCCGGCTCGAGGTCTCAAGGAACACTGCTTCCATGACACCACACCACACCTGCAGCTGCTGTCCTGAGCGCCTTCCCCATTGGTCCCTGTCTGTCCCCACCCTGAACCCAGACCCTGGCCGGGGACTGTGGGAGGCAGATGGGGCGCACCTCCCATGCAAGGACCCACGCCTGGCACGACTGGCTCAGCCTGGGCTGTACTGCCACCCACCTCAGCCTTCCACCCACAACCTGGAGCGTCCTAGGCACTGTGAATCAAAGGGAAGGGTGGGCACATCTGCCCCGCCCCAACCTCAGGCCCATGGTCGTGCAACCCGAGGAAACCGCAGTGGATGCCCACCCTGGTGCACCAGGGAGCAGGGACTCAGGCAGCAGCCCCGACTTCCCCCATTCTTCAGCTGCAAAACTGAGGCCAGAGGGAGAGGCCAGCTCGCAGCTCTTGGGGGCCCCAGAAGGCAGGCACCAGCCCCAGAAGAGCAGCACACCTCCCTTATAAGGCAGCCTTGGGGAGATTTGGCTGCTGTTGCGGTGGAGCTGGGAGGGGGTGGGGTGGCCTGGCCGAGGCAGAGCCAGCAGCCACCCGCAGGCTGGGTTCAGGTTCCTCAGCCCAGCCCTGCCCAGAGACAGAGAGGACTTCGAGGACCTGAAGGGCCACAGAGGGTGGAAGGCTGAGGGCAGCCTGGACCTCAGACACCAAGAGCCCTGTATACAGCACGGACCTCAGGCCTCACAAGCTCAGAGGTGGGGCGCTCAGACCTAGCTGTGGCTCCCGCTTCCTCTCCCCCTTTCAGCCATCTAGGACTCCCACTTTCCTCCCTGAAATGTCGGCCCCTTCAAGAACCCCGTTCCCAGCCAGCGTCCTGCCCAGAGAGCCCCGTGGAGTGTTCTGCACACCCATCCCACTCCTAACCCTGCAGGGACAGCCAGCCGAGGGAAAGCATGTTCTCAGTCCCCGGGAGCCCAGGGGGGTCCATGGGTCCCTGCCTCCGCCTGCCAGGGCCACCCAAAGTTGCCCTCATCTCATCACCCGAAGGTCACTCCAACACCCTTTTACTGAGCACCTACTATTCTGTCTCATGGGATTCTCTATGAAAATACAGACAACGAACGGCCCCTCTAGGAACCTGGGCCCTAGTGGGTGAAGGGGAAGAGTTGTAAAGAATATGTAGCCAGATGTGAAGGATATCACTGGCTTACAGGAAATTCTAGTTCCTTTCCACTCTGTATTTTCTGCACTTTAGGAAAAGGGTAGTGTATTACTTTTTGCAATTTGAAAAACTATTTTTACATTATAAAGGACTCTAGCAGAAGAAGGCTCACAAAAAAATTTACATCCCAAGCTGAACACCAGGTCCTTACAGGAGAAAGATACAGAAGAGCTCAGGAGTCAGAGGAAGTGAGGCTACTTCCAGCCTCGGGAAAAATGTGTCAGAGCTTGAGGGATGCATATGAGTTTGACAAAGCAATGATGTGAAAGGGGACGAGAGTCAGGGCAGAGAGGTTGTGAGGAAGGTGCAGGGGCCAGTGAACTGCGGAGCAGAGTGAGCGGAGCAGGTGCAGGTGAGGGAGCTGGTGAAGGCTGGGCTGGGGATGGATTTCATCAGCGCTGCTTCAGGGGTCAGGCTGGGACCCGGGAGATCCATCCTAGAGGCAGAAACAGAGTGGCCGAGAGTCTGATCCAAGGGCACGGAGAACCCTGGTACGGTTTGGATCGAAAAGTGTCTAGGAAGGGCTCAGAGGTGGGGATTTGGGAAGGAGATGGGATCTCCTGGGCGCTAGCAGTGGATTCACCCACTGACGACTCCATAACCTGATGGTGCCCTAGGGAGGTGATGGGAACAGGAGGTGGGGCCCGGGCTAAGGCAGTGGTCAAAGGGTTGTGCCCCTGGGAGCCGCATCTTGTGCCCAGCCCCTTCCTAGCTGTCTGTCTCCCTCCCTCTCCCTCCTTCCTGGCTGCCTTAGGTCAGCAGCTTTGCTCCACACACAGCCCGGAGCCTGGTGGTCCTGCACTGAAAGCGTGAGCTGAAATAAACTTTCCTCCCTAAGCTCTCAGGTTTGGTCACAGCCACACAAAGCTGACTGATTCCCTACCCCGCCCATGTGATGCCAGCTGTACCCAGACGCAGGGTCAGGGTGGCCAAGGAGAGCATTCAGAGCAGGGACTGTGGGGGCGCTGGGCACTCCCAGCCCAGCCCCCACAGAGGGCAGAGGCAAGAGTGGGTCTGCAGGAAAGACAGGCAGGAAGCCAGGCGAAGGGGAAGCAGGACCCGGGCCCAGAAGATGGGACAGGCTGGGACCAGGGGAGAGGAAGAGGGAGGAGGAGGGGCCAGGGGGAGCTCAGACCGGGACCCTGAAGAGAGGAGCACCTTGGCTCACCCCACGCTCTCCACAGGAGCTGCGCCCCATAGGCTGGGTCCCTCTCTGGGCACAGGCTGGGTCCCCAGTGGTATGACATGGTCTGCTCTCAGCACTCTGAGCTGCTTGGGATTGCGGAGCTCCCCTCCCGCCTGGGCCTGGTTGCATCCCAAACTCGGGGCAGGCTCCCATGACATTCTCTCACTGCCCTGACCATCCAGCCCACAGCTAAGCTCTGTCCCTTGCAAAGTAGGGGCTGAGCTGTGTCCACTGGAGGAAGAGCCGCATCCTCTCACATGTCCCCTGACTGTGCCACCCTGAGCAGATGCCCCAGCCTGTCCCTCAGAGCCTGCACCACCTCCCGCTGCTGGATCCAGCTCCAGCTGTCACAGAGATCTGGGGCCAGTGTCGTCCCAACCACATCCTGTTTAACTCAGCAGAGTGAGAACAGCTCAGCCCGGGAGGGGCGTATTCGATGGTGCATCAGATAAAGGCCCTGGACACAGGAGACTGTGAGGGAGAGGAAGTGGCCCTGCCCCTCTGCACCCACTGCCCGCACCTTTGTCCCAACACCATGACACCTACACCCAGGACCACCGAGTCCGGGCTGATGGGTAGGGAACTCTGGAGCGTCAAGTTTGGAGAGGTGGGAGAAACAGAGAAGACATCCAAGGCTGGGAAGAGCCGTTAAAGGCCCACGGGTCCCTGGCTGCTCACAGCGCAGTCCGATGCCTGGTGCTGTGGGAAACACAGAGCTCCCGGCCCTGGGCTGCCGAGCCAAGTGCGCGCACTTCAACCACACGGGTGTTTCTTGCCCACAGTAAAGCACTAGGAGCACTGGGCTCCACGCCCCACTACACCCAAGCCCCAGGCTCCCCCTGTATCTACTGACCACCGAAAATCCTCGTTCCCAAAGGAAAACCAAAAGAACCAAAGGCCAGGATTTAAAGATCTGTGCGCACACCCAAGCTGGAGCAGCAGCATTCACAGCAGCCAAAGGCTGGAAGCAACCCAGGTGTCCATCAGAGGGTGCAGGAGAGGAAAATGTGAACCGTTCACACCACAGGGCGCCCCAGCCCTAGGAAGGAAGGAAGTTCTGACACGTACTACAATGCGGGTGGGAGCTCAGGGCATCACGGGACGGGAAAGAGCCAGGCACGAAAGGGCAGGTGCTCTATGACGCCACTTCCATGAGGTCCCCGGAGTCATCAAACTTGGAGAAACAGAAAGAGGGACAGGGTTGTCGGGTCCTGGGAGGCAGAGGAACAGGGAGAAAGTACTAAACGGGGACAGAGTTTCTGCCTGGGATGTGAAAAGTTCTGGGGACTGATGGTGGGGGTGACAGCACAACACTGCAAATACACTCGCCACCATGGACTACACACTTAAAAACAGCTAAGATGGACAATTTTATGCTATGTGTATTCACTACGATTAAAATTAGTATTAATGCTGGGGATTTAGCTCAGTGGTTCTGCTGCCTGCCTCGCAAGGGCCAGGTCCTGAGTTCGATCCCCGGGACCACCCAAAAAATAGTAATAATAAAGTAAATAAAAAATCAAGCTGTTCAGGTTGTCTAAGCCAAAGAACACTTACTGAACATTTATGGAATTCCGACTCCAAGCCCAGAAATGAACTTGACTTTCAAGGAGCAGAGAACCCTTGACATAGCCCTGTGGGGCTCAGGGCAGGGCAGACACATCTCTGAGAAGGGCTACAGTTATCTGGGCCCCGAGTTCCCACGGCATGGCATCATCTCCCTTGCAAGCTCTCCACGCCACAGAACGCCAAGTTTGAGCACTACGAGGGCACTGCTCAGTCCCTCGCCCGCCTCCCCCTAAAAGGAGCTGTGTGAAAGTGTTCCTGTCCCCTGGTCCGGGGAGCCCTCTTGGGGCCCCTCGGCCATACAATCCCAGTGCAGAGGTTCGGGCTCTTCAAGGTGTCCATGTCCTTGGCCATGACCACCACCCCCTGGGGAGGAAGGGGAGGAGGATGAAGCCCAAGCGCCGTCAACACGAGAGGACCGTCCAGTGCAGACCAGACGGGAACACGAGGCCTCTCTTCCCAGGCAGCCCAGCTCCTCTTTGCAGGGCCTGCCTCCGTGAAGCCATCCACTAACCCAGTAGTACCAGAATGGGGCTGATCTTCGGTGTTCAAGCCCATCTCATCCCAGGCCCCTGGAGGAGCCCACGGCAGTTCCTGTTCGAAGCACCACTCTGAGCCTTCCAGGCCCTCCCTGTCCCAGGACCACACCACAGGGGGCACGCAGCATGGCCTGCTCTGACTAACAGTGGAGGCCCTGGAAACCCAGAGATTCTTGTCAAAGCCTCACTGGTGTCCCACTGGCTGCATTTCCATGTGGGCCCCACGTTCAGGGAGCCAGTCACACTTCCCTGCGGCCCAGGACATCGCTCCACGTACTCAGGCCTTTCTCCCCCACCGGCATTCAGCTCCTTCCAGGAACCCACCACAAAGACCTAGCCCCAACCCTGCCGCCTCAGGGGCCCTGTGCTCTGCCACTCACCCTCCTGGTTCCTGGGTAGGGCCTCGGCCAAGGTTGGCTTGGCGTCCAGCCTGCTGTGCAGCTGGGACATTGGGGCAGGCTCAGAATTCTCCAGGGGCTGGGATGGGAGGGGACAGGCAGGCGAGTCAGCTGGCTTGGGCACCTGGATCTCAACCCTCTTGGGGGCTGTGTCGGCGGTAGGGGCAATGGGTGCCTCGGGAACCTTGGAGGCCGGGGTCTCCATCCTGCGGTGGGCTGACTCCTGGGGCTTGACGATGGTGATCTCCGTCCTCCGAGGGGTTGGCTCCGGCGTCTTGTGGCCCAACCCCTCGGCCCTCTTGAGCCCAAACCGTGCTGCCCCAGTGGCACCTGAGGCTTCCACCTGCTTAGAGGAGATGTCAATGGACAGCTCCGTGCGCCTTGACACAGGCTCGGCCACCTTGGGCCCCGAGAGCTCGACCCTCCGCAGGGAGGGTTTCGGGGAGCGCTGGCTTAAGGAGTCTACATGGCGGGCCGAGGGCTCTGAGTTCTTCACACCCAGCTCCTGGAATTTCTGGGTGGAGCTGGCCACGGTGGTGCGGAGCAGCGGAGTCTGGACTCTCCGGGTCGGGGTGGAGTTGGGCGGCTCAACCTCCTCAACCTCGAAAGATCTCTTCAAGGCTGAAAGACAGAGAGGGGGACTTGGTGAGTGGTAGGTGGGGACACAGTGCATGTGGTTGGTGCTGAAGAGAATGGGGTGGCAAGGTACTGGGCTGACCGAGGTGGGTCACATGTATCCCTCCAACAACTGTCGCACAAAGAATAGTATTTCCTTGGTATAAATGGGAAAACCGAGGCGGGGGCACCTGAGCAAAGTGCCTGGCAGACTGTTGGTCTGCCTGACACCAATGCCAAGGCACAGGCCCTTACTGTGACCAGTTGCCCAGCTTGTCCACACCAGCTGAGCTCAGCCCTGCCCTCTGCTGTACAGCCACATGCTGGCCGTGCAGGACGCATCAGCTGGTGGCCCAGTGTTCCTGCCACCAGGTCATCCCGCCACCTGCACCCAGGTCTGTTCCCTCCAAACAGCGGGACCCTGCCTAGGAAGCCGCCATCCCTGTGTCCCCACAGCTGCAAATGAGAACCTGCTGCTGGGTTGCACAGAGCAGAACCACGTGGCAGGAACATTCCGTAGCTCCTTCCGCAGAGCAGCCCAACGCTCCTGCCTCACCCCAGAGCCCAGGATTACCTGGGTCTCCACAGTTTCCTCCCCTGCCCCCAGGGAAAAGGGCTGACAGCTGCCAGTCCCCAGCAACAGCTGGATGGGGCTATTTTTGGCAGCTCTTCCTTCCTGCCTTGTTTCCTCCAAAAGCAAACATAACTCTTGCCTCTGCTGTGTCCAGCACTTCCTTTAAAGGACCAGAGGCTCGTGAGTGGCTGACGAGTAGGAGGCCAGAGGAGGGGAGAGGCAGAGGAGGCCTGTGTCCCTGACACCTGCCCCGAGTGACCACTGGCTTCCCAGACGTGGCCCTGGGTACCCCTCTTTCTTGGTGGACAAAGAATGGGCGGCTCAGCTCCACTGTTCCGGAGGCAGGCAGAGACAGTGTCAGCAGAGTAGCAAGTGTGACTGGGTAGGGACCAGTAGATTCCAGGAAACAGGCAAGTCACCAGGCGCCTGGTCCCAGGGGGTAGACGCTGCTCAGCCATCAAGACCTGCAGGAACTTGGCTGTCCAGCCTCTCAGCGAAGTCTAGGAATATGGATTCCTGTATGATACTTCCTGACTTTTAAATGCTGGCACTAAGCAAAACAAGGCCCTCCCCTTTCTTTGAGACAAGGTCTTGCTCTGTAGTTCAAGCTGGCCTTGAACTCACTATGTAGCCCAGCAGGGCCTCGAACTCATGGCAATCCTCCTGCCTCAGCCTCCCAAGTTCTGGGATTACAGGCATGGACCACCACACCCGGCAACAAGCCCTATTTTAAAACACTGTACAGTGCAGCCCACCCAAATCACACCCGTGGATCCACTTGTCCAAGGCCCAGCCAGTGACTTGATGACATTCGTGTGCTGTGTGCAAGGTCCTGAGTCACAGAGCCTGGTGCTGCCACTCCAGATCCCAACTTGGTGCAGCTCCACCCACGCTGGGCTGGTGACCAGATGTGCCCCAGTGAGAACTGCCCATTGTGGTTCTAAGAAGGACCAGGGCTCTGGGAAAGGTCATTTGCTGGCTCACCCTGGCCAGCAAGTGAAACTCCATGCCTGGAGCTTTGTCTCCATGTGGTTCCTGGCCCTCCCCAGGCGATCCGGTCTACACCCTTCCCCACCTCAAGTGCACCATCCAAACCATCCCCAGATGACCAGCCCATCGCATGAGTTCTCAAAAGGGCTCCTGTCCCCACCCACCTTTGACAGACAATTCCAGGAGGTCCTCAGCAGCCAGACGCTGGACCCAGGTCTGTGCCAAGGGAATAAGAAGATCCCTTCCTGGAGAGCCCCCTCTTCGGGGATCCCCTTGGAGGGACCCCAGTTGCCAACAATGCACCAAAGCAAAGCCTTCCCTGATTGACCCACAGTGGAATCCCCAGCACAGATGCAGTGACCAGACCTACACACACAGATCATTCTGCAATGGCAACTGGGCCCTTCCGGAAATACACCTCCCTCCAGATGCCGTGAGTTCACTCCTGCTCACCTTCGCCATCTACGCACAGTGCACAGGCATGCCCTCCCCACCGGCCACCCCTCTCCCTTTCTGTGCTTTGTGTCCCTTCCTGGCACATATGACCGCCATCCCCCTACACACCCTCCAACACCTCCGAGCTCAATGTCCAGCTCTGTTACCGATTGGTCCTGCTGCCCAGCACCCCAGTCCTGCAAAGACCTGTCCCAAGGGCTAACATGTGACAGCGACCTTATTTGGAGAAAGGGTCGTTTGGGTGTGACCAAGTCAACGATCTTGACTTGAGACCAGCCTGGAATTAGGATGGTTCCCAAGAAGTGGCACTGTAGCTCAGTGGCAGAGCACACACCTGGCTCAAGGAAGGCCCTGGGTTCGATCCCAGCTCCGCCACCATCAAAAAAAGATAAAAGAGAAAGGCAGAGGGAGACCTGGGGAGACCCAGAAGAGAGGCCATGTGAACACGCAGGCAGAGGCTAATGATGCAGCCCCCAGCCGAGGAAGCCGATGGCAAGAAGGGTGCTCTTCCAGATTGGCTAGAGAGAGCAAGGTCTTGCTCACACCTCGCCTCGCACTCAGCCCTCTAGTCCCTAGAACTCTGAGAGAACCAATGTGTGTTGCTGAGCCACCAGGTTCCTGTCATTTGTCACAGGAGCCGCAGGACACAGACACGGAGGTGTCTGGGAAGATAAAGCTTCTGGGTGCTCTGTGTCCTCACCCCACTCTCCTCCCAACCACACTCAGCAGATCTCTAACCTGGCCCACAGAGGGGTGGCCCAGGGCTCCCCAAAAGCTGCCTCCAGGAGCCACAAGGTAGGAGAGCCGCCTCCAAATACCCTAGATGCTGGGAGAAGTCATCGGGACAGCACCACTCCGGGCTTACACTGGTGCACTTGGCAAGGAGACGAGACTGCTATCTGACAGGACGCCCCATATGCTCTTGTCTCCCCAGAGGGCTTCAAGGGGAGCACCCGGCCAGGAAAAACTAGGAGACGGCTCGTCACAAGGCTGGCAGGACAGGGCCCTCTGGGATTTATTTCCTCAACAGTCCAAAAAGTACCCCCATGTCCTGCACTCATGCACACAGACACCCCTCTTCCCAGTGGGAAACTCCAACGGAGACACCCTCCAGGTCCACAGGGCCAGTATTTCCATCTGAGTCGCCATCCCCACCCCTGAGGAGGGAGAGGCAGCCAAGGGGCACCTGTGGGTGGTCAGAGGCCAGCAAGAGAGCTCACTCATGAGCTTGTCAGGTGCAGATCTGAGACTCCAGGACAGCCACACATCAGATCCCAGGGACCAGCTAGGCAGGGCAGTGGCCTCTCATGGGGCTGAGGAGGCTTCCTGAGCACTGAATTCCTGTCATCGGGAGTCAGCAGGAGACCTGCAGCAGGACCAGGTCATATTGGGAGTGTCCCCACACTGCCACTGGGAGGTGAGACAGTCCCACCCCAGGCCAAGAGGGCCGGCCACCTTTGCCCAACTTACCCTCCTCGGTGGATGCATGTCCCCCCAAAGCCGGGCTCAACCCAGCCTGCTCCGAGCGCCTTCCCAGGGCCCGCTCATACTCCATCCTCAACTTGCACCAAAAGCCTGAAGCTGGATCCCAGGCTCTGGCCCAGTTCTGGGAATGGATCCCAAGGAACAAGCAGAGGCACAGGAAGATTTATGGGCCATGCCATTCGCATCGGCATTAACACCACCAACACTGGAAACAATCCGGGTTTAAGCAGCTCTTCCCAACCCATATGTCCAAGTCGCACAGAGTCATCAAAACCATGTTGGAGAAGATGAGAAATGCTGAGGGTGTTAAATAAAAATAGAAGGACACAAGATGTATACACAACCCCAGTTCCACATCTCACACCCATGTGCAGCTCGCACACGCATGCACACACACACCCACACACACACACTCACACCCCGACGGAGGATGACTGTCTCCGGCTGGAATGGTGGTGGGTGTTCTTCATTAGACCTCCCTGCCTCGCTGCCAGCCCCGAACATGGGTCCTTTCAGTTGCTCGGGGCTTGAGTAACTGACTCCAAAGACACACCTTGCTGCAAACAAGTTGGAGGACTCAGGTAACTCGGGCACCCGCCCAGGCCTGCTCCCTAGATTACAGCTCCAGCCCGGGGCTTCCCGAAGTCCAGGCTGGGCACTCGGCCCCCTCCTGTCCCTCAGGCACCTACAGTCTCAGCTGCTACACAAAGAGGCCAGAGTGGCCTCCCTCCAGATGGAGGCCTTCCCGGCTGTGCCCACGGGGGGCCAAAGCAGGAGCAGCCTGGATCTGGGCCTGCTTAGAGAGGAATGTGCCATGCACAAGGAACCATTGTTCAGGCCTCTGCTCTGACCGCAGGCTGCCGCAGACCTCTCCGGCTCCTGAAACCAGATCAAGTACTTCCTCGTGTACAAATTGGAGCTGGTCTGGGAAGGGGATACCGGGAGAACCACAAAGCCCTTCTCCAGCCTGGGACAAACGTCTTGCAAAGGAATGCTAGAGCTGAGGCCAAACAGATCCATGCATGGGCAGCCCCCACCAGAGGGAACAGCGCTGCATTCTGAGCATAGACTCCCCCACCCCGGCAAAGCCAGCCTCCTCCCCGCAGCAGCAAAGCAGGGGCTGATGCCCAGGAACCGGGGAGATGGCACTGATGGAGGCACCGCCCTGTTCGCAGCCCTGAGCCTGCTGGAACACCCCACCCACAAGTTAACAACACAGCCTGCTGGATGTCCAAAGTGAGACCGAGATCCTGTGGCCAGCAGACCCTCTGACCCAGCCACCCTGCTCTGAGATTCCTGAGAGTGAGGCCAAGCCTGGGGCTGGGCATGGATCCCTGCTCAAGACAGAGTGGGTGGAGCAGTGGGCAGGGCCCAGCTGAGAGAGACCCCCTTCCCCACACCATCTCCCAGCAAGGAAGGCAGAGGAGGAGTCCGTACCAAGCAAGACAGTCCTTCCAAGAACAGGAATGGTGCCCAAAAGCCAATGAGTGATAGATAAGGC